TATGGCACAGAAGACATGTTAAGATTAAAGGTTTAGTAAAATGTATAGGAACTCAAAAAATTGTCACAATTTTTGATTTTTCTTGATTTTAAGTGAGTCTATTTCGCTCTTCACGTTTTCCAAACATTTTTTTTTTGAGATTTTAATATAAGGTTTAAATAAAAATGTAACAACAATTCTTTTGAATTTAGTTAGGACTCGTGTCTGTTTACATTAATTCTCTTTTCGGCAGCATAGTGTATGGGGACTCGTACAGAAGCAAAATATTAAATATAAAAATGTTTTTAACATATTTTTTCGTTTAATGTAAATATGGTCAAAAAAATTTTTTTTTTTATTATGTTATTATGATTTTATAATATCCTTTATACATACATAATATAAAACTTATTAATTTTTGGTGATTTAAAATTTTTTTCTCATTCTCTCTTTTATGTATGGTTTTTGTTCATATCGATGTGGTATGATTTTGAATTATATTATAAGAATGCCTCTGTATTATAAGGATCCTTAGAGTAAGTATTGAGTTGGTTTTAAAGCTAACCATGCGTACTAATGACATCTTTGCATATACTTTGCCTTATTTACAAAAATTCATTATTATTGTTATACTTTCTTTCAATTTAGCTTATAAGAAATAGGGATCCAATAAGATTATTTAAATATATAATACTACCTTTAATACTGATTATGTTGATCTTAAATTAAATGTACATATAGTAATTTTATGGACATATACATGTTATCAAAATAAATATAAATTGTAATCAAAATTTCTAAAAAAAAAAATTAATTATAAACCAAAATCAAGGATATCTTTTACATAGAAATTCTATTGAATATTACAAATTAATAAAATATATTTTATATTACTTAAGTACACATATTTAAATTAAAGTCATGTATAGGTATCCTTTAGAAATTCCGAAAATTATTTCTATATATATATATACCATGATTATAATCTCATATTTAAATAAAGGATAACATTTTCAATTGAATATATGATCGTTAAGATACAAAAATAATGTACAACCTAATATGAAAAGAAAATTTCAATTCAAATTGAAATTTTCCAATTAATAATTTTCAAACCCTTTTTACTTTTCCAATAATTATATATATATATATATATATATATATATATATATATATATATATATATATATATATATATATATATATATATATATATATATATATATATATATATGTATATAAATCTTTAATATATAAGGTGTTTTTTCTTAATTCTATAGTAAAAGTTAAAAAATTGAATTTGAAATTTATTAATATGTCATTAATATTTTAAAGTTATTTCGAGTAAATTGCCACACGTATTCTTTTTGACAAAACAGTTTCTTAATAGCAAATTTTCGATTACTTTTACGTTCACTACTGGCTATATAGCAACCTTAACCTCAAATGCATCAACGGCTACATGTACTACTATAGGCATTCTCCTGTAAAATTCAATGACTTGACCAGCTATCTGATAAAATAATTGCTAAAACGAATTAAGTCAACAATTTTGTAAGGATTAGGCATATGTTCTCATGGAAAATATCATTAATAATGGGACGGTAAAGATCTCCGTTAACTGTAATACGAGCTTTTACCTCATTTTTTTTGGGAAATAAGGTTTAATGCTGCTGTCAACGTATAAACCTTCTCAATTCATTTTCTGGTATATAATGCAATTTGTACGGTCTCATTTTGGATTAGTATCACTCTATATGTACGAATTTGGCCTATTAATTATTATTATTAATTAAATAGGCCGAAAATTGTAAGGTAAAATAAATATGACTAATTTTTAAAGTGACGACCTTCTTCTACCAAGTAATTGTGATGAATTTGAAAACATTTCTCAATTGTTTGATTTTCATTTGATTGTCTCAATCCTCAATAACAACTAGTTTGACAGTCAGCTATTCTTAATCTGTTTCTAAACAAAATAGGACACCCTATATAAAATATATTACATAAATTGTAATGTAATATTATTATTATAACAAAAACTTAATATGAAAATTGAAAATGTAAATGATATCCTTGTCTATAAAATGTTAATAAAGAATAATAAAGGCACAATATTCTTATTTATACACACATACATATATAGAGCAAAGCATATTACATTATCATTTTATTAAAATTTCTGTTTATTTATTATTATATTTATATAATGAGGATTTGTAATTATTATTCGGTATTCAAAATAAAGTTGCTTAGCAATATAAGTTATAAATTTAATTTTCAATTGAATATTTTATTATAATAGGATTAATTAATAAAATATATCTCATGTATAATGACTTTATATTATAATTAAAACAAAATCTTTACACGTATAACACTATTATAATGTATAAATCTGTATATAACAAAGACATTTTGTAAAAATAGAATAAAGGATTCACTCTTGTAATTCAATATAGTGAATCAACTGTAACAGGTTCAGTAATTCAACAAGTTGCAATTTCTTAGAAAATTCTTGTATTTGTTGAATAATTAAAGGTTTTTTAGAATTGCTATTATACTTCAAATTTAAAAGTTCATACTTAAGTTTATCTTATAAATAGCTTAAATAACTTGTTTTAATCATTATACTGTTATAATTATTACTGTTGATTCACTATTATAAAAGTTCATGTTAAATTTTATGTCATAAATATCATTAAACTTTTGAAATTTGAAAACTTATTTAACTGTTATATTATATAACAGTTTGATTTACATTGAAATATGTAGAACAGACATACATAATATAACAGATAAAAATGTTATATTTGCTTGAAAACGTAATCTGAGTTATAACTTTATAACTATCAAATATTGTTTTATAAAGTTCTATCATACTATTTGTATGATCAAAGTTCTATCATACAAAATGTATTTGCTCAAGATTTTATGATTTTTTCTTGATTTATTTTAAATCTGATGAAAGTTTGATTTAACAAATAACTTTCTTTCTAATTTAAGATTTTCTTAATCAACATATTATACAAGTTATTTAATAACACACACATTTTGTTATACAAATTGTATGATGGTTTGTTGTACAATAAATTTTACTAACTAAACTCGCATTAAATCAAAATTTTTATTTATAAATTTTAAAAATTAAATGAAATAAATTCATAATCTCATTATATTATCAAGGTCTAAAATTTTTATTATTAAAATTCATATACACAGAAAATTTTTCATTTAATAATTAATCAAATTCATTAGGTTTAATATTTGAAATATCATCATATATATTATTAAAATCATGAAAAAATATAACATTAAATTTATAATTTTTTTTTTTTTTGAATAAATATTGAATAAATTTATTTTGCCTATTGATTATCTATAATAAATTATATACTGTATATATATAATTTATTTATATACAATATAAAAATTATACAATTATGTTAATCGAAATATACATAGAAATAAAATTTCCATGTCATTCTACAATCATAATTCAATTTGTAATAAAATTCTAATGTCAATTTCTCACTTTTACTTCACAATACGAATATGAAATCGAAAATATTCAATCACAATAATTAACAATTGAATTGAAAATAGAAAAGAAAAAAATCTAAATATTTTCATCTTTTCCTTTTCCGAAACCTATGAATTTGAATAATTTTTTCTCTTTTACAAATAAAATTCGAAAAGAATTCGACAATCATTTAGAATAGCTGTGTAAAAGTAAAATGAAAAAAGGTCCCTATATATTTCTATTTTTATATATACAATAAAAGAAAAAGAAAATACCAAAACAAAAATATTAACAGGTATTACAATAGATTAAGCGCTTGTACAGATTTTCATTCACACCAATCATTTTCTTTTTTATACAAAATTCTGTATTACAAAATGAAAATATTGCATGCGATCAAATATTTAATCCTAATATAGTTAGTAAAGAAATAATATGAAATATAACAAACATTGAGCTATAATAAAACAAAAATGTTTTGAATTCAAACTTGTTTCGTTCATACAAAAAGTTGCAGAGAGTTTGAAGTTCAAATTCGTTCAAAAATATTTGTTTGCAACAAAAATTCTGTTTTCAATCTCGATTTTTAAAATATTCTTATTTCTTAAGCATTTTAAACAAAATTATTGTGTTTGCAACATTAACCGTAAAATACATGTTGCAGTTCGAACACAACCAATATTTTAAATAAAAATTATGACATTGATGAAATCATACTATTTACTGTGATCATATTCGCAAATCATTCTGTTCAATTCAAAATAAAGTATTAATCAAAATAATAATAATAAAGTAATTAATACTTGCTAAAATACTAACTATGTATGATGCAACAACAAACAAGCTTTACTCAATGTAATATCAATACCAAAAGTATTGGAAGTTTTAAATAAAATACCCGATAATATATTGATAAAAGAATGTGTTGAAATTATTTTGTTCATTTCGGAATTTACTGATTTATCTCTCTTCCTCTCCCTTTCTTTTAATTTCTATCCATCTCCCTCTAACCTTTAGTAATGTTATATGAATTTCTTCTTTGGTTCTATTTTTGTAAATTTTTCCTTTAATTTCTTGAATATTTACCTTCATACAATTTTTACATTGAATAATGGTGTTAATTTATTGATTTGCAAAGTAAAAAAGAAGAGCAAAGAATGGAAACTTCTTTACAATTTTTGAAAAATTCATTTAGAATATTATACTATTACTGGGTATGATGAGTTGATTGTTACAATTGAAATTTTTCAAACAATAAAGTATTGGTAGTCAAACATTAACAGAAATGAAAAATCGCACCAGAGGTTAAACATTAATAGGAAATAAGAAATTTAAATTTAAATTCTTTTTTGTGAAAATCACGTAGAAGATATTTTGTAATAATTAAAACACTAAAATTTATTTGAAATCAGTATATACACCGAACACTAAATTTTAATTGATTATAATTAAAATAAATTATTTTTTATTTATTCTTTCTATTTAATTTTAATTACAGGTGATAACTGCTAGTGATACAGCACCAAAAGCATTAAAAGATTTAAGAAATCGTTGTTTAAATCCTGGTAAATATGCTCAACATTTAGAACGTTGGTTAGCATATTATCCAGCACAACAATTACATATTATTGATGGTGAACAATTAAAATCAAATCCAATTGATGTTATGAATGAATTACAAAGGTTTCTTAAAATACAACCACCATATGATTATTCAAAACATTTACGTTTTGATAATAAAAAAGGTTTTTATTGTCAAGTTGTTAATGATAATCGTAATAAATGTTTAGGTAAATCAAAAGGTCGTCAATATCCGCCCATGGATGATAGAAGTTTAAAATTATTACAAAGGTAAGTTACATATTCACATATATGAGAAAATCTTTATTCTAAGGTTTCCAAATCAAATTAAATAATGGGCTTGTCTTAAACAGGCACAGAGTGATACTTAAAATATTAAAAAGTTAAAAAAAATCAGTCGAAATTGATTTTGAGCTCCTGTAACTCTGAACCTGTTGAGCTGTGAACATCGTCTCCATACAAAAGTTTTGTTTACTATTGAGTCTCCATACAAAAGTTTTGTCTACTACCGCAATTTACTATCTTAAATCATAGTTTTTAACTAAAATGAAAGTTACCTAGCGCGTAGGCAACAAGATTGAAATTTTTTTATTTTGTTTTAAATTTCCAATTATGTTAAAAAAAATAATTCTAGGCATTATTCTAATCTATTTATTCTTTTCACAAAAATCTCTATAGAATTTAAAGAAAATTGTCCTTCTCTTTATGTATAAATAATAATAAAAATGTTACAATTTTAATGTAGAAAAATATATTTTTATAAGCAGCCGCCTCATCCCCACCTTGCACAATATTTTTAATCTATATATACATGCATAATTTAGAATTGGACAAGAATATAGAAAATCTCTTAGGAAATATATGGAATACGATTTCAAGAATTCTTTTTTATATTTTATTACCCTTAATGTTTTTCAATCAGTATAGCTAGATGTAGGTATATTAAAATGTGTTTTTTGAATCTCCCAACACGCAATTTTCTAATTTATAAAATAGATCAAAAACAAATAAAATAAAACAAAATATAAAGGGAACAAAAGAATCTTATGTATACCTACTATTAAAATTAAAGTAAATAAGACTTAAAAGAATCAGAGACGACAATAATAATATGAAAAAAAACATTTAATGTCGATATAAATTCGTATATATGCGTACAAATTTAGATATATCAATAATTTAATGACCATCAACTGAAATAGATCCTTGTAAAAGAGTCATCCATAACTTTTTTAAGTCCATTGTAATACTAATCTTATTACCCTTATTACCGTTCCGTTTTATTTTTAATTTTTTACTCTTTGATTCTCTCTCTTATCAAACATTTTTATTCAATCATTGAACCGGCAGTATAATTTTAGGGATACACCACATTCACATACAGAGTTTACTTAATATTTAAAATTTTTATGTATTCCATATTTTGATTTTTAAAGTACGAAAATATGCGACTCTTTTTTCTCATACCTATATATATTTCTGGTATATATCATATATATTCTATATATATGATATATACCAGAAATATATGTATATTTATATATATATATATATATATATATATATACCTAGATAGAATATATATACATATATATATATATATATATATATATATATATATATATATATATATATATATGTATATACGTATATATATATATATACACCTAGATATATACCATATATAATATACTATATATTACGTATAATTATACTATTATACATAAGAAGAAATAAAAATGAATACAGATCTTTTACAGTACATATTTAATTTTACCACTTTTCCAATTTAAAAATTTAAAAAAAAAAATGGTGTTTGTTCACCCTGTCCATGTTCAGTCCATTTTTTGACATTTAAATATTCTAAAAAATTCCATTTTTTGACTACTTTTTGTACCAGAACCGCAAACATTTTTTAAATTAAGCAAAACTAAGGAAAGTAGGAACTGCCTTCTTCTATAACACAATAGTATAGTCAAACATCAAAAAAATTAAAAAAAGTAACTGTTAAAATTAACCGTTATCAAAATCTCGACTATAGTTTTTTTAAATATTTGATATTATTTTTCCTTTGTACGTAAGTTGTAGAAGTCCGACATTTTAAAAGCTTTTAGACACTAATAAATAATTTATTTCATTAGAAGAAATTTATTTTTTCCATCTCCAAGGAGACGGTCCATATTTTTCCATCTCCAAGGAGACGGTCCATATTTTTCCATCTTTTTTCCAAGGAGAGGATCCTTGCAAGTTATTGCCTCTCGATTTGATAAGTTATTGCCATTCAATTGCTCTATGATTTGACTTAAGAAATTTGACAGACAAAAATGTGAAATACGAAAAATATAAAAGTAAATTTTCAAAAATCTTATTTAAAATTAAATACCAATTTTGTTTTTTCCCTCACATATTTTTTTTTTAGATCACACACTTTACTTTCAAATTTTATTACTCCTGCTGATATATCCTGATTTTCAGGAGTGTTGAAAGAATATGTCCTTTCGAGAATAATTTTTATTACTTTTGTCTCTCGCTCTTTTTATGTTACACATATTTTATTTTTGGTTCTTTACTTTATTTCAATCATACTCTTGATATATACAATGGTATTATAGGTACTATGCGAGTAGGATACCTTAAATATGTAAATAAGAATTAAATTGAATATACAAATAAAAAATAAGAAAACCTTTTGACTTATGTATAAAATATATATACTTTATTATTATTGTATATATGTAGATTTATATTATAGTATATATATAAAATTTACAGTATATTTAAATTGAAAATTAATGGTTTAAAAAAAGCAAAAAAGAAACTGTCCTTCCATTAAATTTAATGCTTATTTGTAAATTTTATTATTTTGTTATTTGTTTTAAGAAAAAAAAGAGAGGATTTTTTTTTCCTTATTTTGTGTATTTCGAAAATAAAAAGATTCATCTTCATCTTTTATATATATAATATAAAAAATATAAGAACATTAAACGGTAAATATACATTTTGTATTTGTGTATATAGTCGAAAATGGGCAGGATACAAAGATTCCAATATATTTATATGAACACACAGGTTGTAACAAGTAATTTCAGCGTTGATTCTTTGATCAATTTCCAACAAATAATTTTCTTATTATGGAAGAAGGGAGGGGCAGGGGCTCAGATATACTCATTTTCGAGTTACAGCCTGTAAAAAAAAATAGGTACCAAATGTTTTCTGCATATAAATAAGAGTTTATAACTTCGGAACCATGAGACATGGGTACCCAACCATACAATTTTTAATTAGAAATTGATCAAAAAATTATTCCTGAAATAATTTGCCACCTTATACGAAACACCCTGTATGTACTTCCTTTTGCTTGTTATATATATGTATTTTTCTGCTATACAATATATATAATACATACTTACCAAATTGTTATTTCAATTTCTCATTTTAAAAATAAAAGTTCCATCTGGTTAGCTCGAATTTTCTGAAATGTAAACATCTTTTAAAAAAAAATATTTTTAGTCCATTTGATCTTCTTAATATTATTTTAAATATATTATGTAACAAAAGTTATATATATCACTTTACAATATATATATTATGTATTATAAATGAGATATATATTAGATATTGTATTATATATATATATATATATATATATATATATATATATATATATATATATATGTATATATATATATCACATGTATTATGGTATATTATACAATCGATACTGATATTATTGTAGAGGATATATGTTTGATATGTATACTCGTATATATATATCAAACATATATCCTCTACAACAATATCAGTATCGATTGTATAATATACCATAATACATGTGATATATATATATATATATATATATATATATATACATTTTAATGATAAGCTGATAAAGAAATTTGAAATTAAACAACTGATGCTTTTATAAAGTACGAAATTAAATATATTGTTATTATAAGGACAATAATATAGTATATAATAAAAAATTATTTTCAAAAAAAATGTTATTCTTATAATTAATTATTCCAAATTCATTTTGACATATACATAAACTATTCCTCTTTCAAACACGAAAAAATTTTGAAATTGCAATATAAGTACAATTTATATCTTTGTGATTTATTTATAATTTGATTTTGGGCGTGAAATTGAATACAATACTCAACTATTACTTAATGATGCTTTAAATTGAAAATATTAAACATTTGAAAAAAAATATTGAATATAAAAATTAAATATTGAACGACTTCTAATATCAATACTTTTATAAGAGCTATTGCAAAATTTGACAATATTGCAGATAAGCAACCGTAATACCACACAACGCAATTGGAAAAATTTTTTTCGAGATATAAGATAAAATTTCATTTTTCAGCTAAAACAAATTACCTTAAGAACGGAGATACATCAGATTCCCCATATGCAATGCTGATCCAGCTTAGGCCAAAATAGTTTTGTTCGCAATTACATGTAGTTCCACTTCCTATTGGTTTGTCCTATTATCGCTAACTTTTTTGTGTACCAGTACGTACACAGAGGCAAAACTGCATTTTTCTGTTTGGACCTTCAGAATTGTTCCATACCTTGTGAGCTCTTGTTTATCTAGTGTTTACAATTATATTTTACAATTAATAATGCATTTTACATAGCAGTAGAATACGAACAATGTTTGTTTCGTTTGAATAATTTATTTTCCAGTAATTTTCATAAAAATATTCGACTATTTTTAATATTTTTAAAAGGATATTATATCTGCAATATATATTTAATAAATTTCCTCTATATACATAAATGGAAATTAAAAGAAAAATTTTTTGACAATCTATTAAAACAAGTAAAATTCAAAAAGTACTTGATAATTTTTTTTTTATAAAAATTTAAAAAATAATAATTGTAATAGCTTTTTTCGCATTGGGATTTGACCAAGTTTTATTAAAACTTTTGAGTTTTATTAAAACTTAAAATAAAAACCTGCCCTATCGATAATTTGAATAATTAAAAAATGAGAAAGTTTAAATACATATACAATTTTTAAGTATGTATACACAATATTTAAGTTTGTAAATACAATTTTCCCGTAAATAATATATGTATGTAATATATAAGTGTATATATCTAATATATAAATATATATATATATATATGTATTATATAAGTGTATATATATTAATATATAAGTACACAAACTTATATAACATATATATACTTATCTGATATTGAAAATGAAACTTCCAATTATACAAATTTAAAACCAAATTTTTGTTCTATTAAATGCCAAAACTTCCAATTTTTAATAATAGAATTGCTTGAACATGGAATCCACAGCGTATATATGTGGAATCCACATTTATACTTCAATTACTTATATAAATAGAAATCTCTACAATAATTTGGGAATTTTTTAAGTCTTTGAATTTTCTGAATTTTTCTCCTTTTCTTGCAGTAATTATAATTTCTCTTAATAATTTCAATTCTTTTATCTTCTCTCTTGAACATTTATTCAATTCATTGTCAATTATGGCACAATATGGTAATATCTACCACATTAATATTAAAAGAACCCAATTCATACACATATCTACATTTATTCCATTCAATTCCTATTCTAAATATTTTTAATTTTTTCAAAATAAAATAAATATCAATAATGGTTTTTTAAATATGTGATAAGACAATAATAGGTCCCACACACAGAAAAATATTTTTTCTAAAAGAGAAAATAAAAAATATCGAAATAGCAGTTAGACTGAATACTTTGTATTGGCAAAAAAAAAATTTCATTCAAAAAATTTTATATTTTAAAGTACCATTTTTATACTTAAACAGAAAACGATAATTACCATATATGAATATATACATATGTACAAAATTTACATTAAAAATAAAAAATAAATGTCATTAATATTAAGATGGTAATTTATTGATACGCCAAATAAAAAATTACATATTTAGAGTAAATATTTTAATTTTAAAATTTAGAGCAAATTCTCATTTTATTTCCAGTTATCAACAAATTGTTATTGTACAATAATGTACTCAATATTTCACGCTTGGCAATTTGTAATCAAAATTGGTATTTTAATTTGACTGCGATTTTTTAATTTGTATTACACATTATTTTTATTTTGTATAAATAATAAAATATAATATTATTTTCAATTCTTTTTATAAAATAATTCATGATATTAAAATAATAATGGTTTTTTTATTAATTTAACAAAAAACGTATATTAGTAACTCTCTCCCATCATTTTGAGAGTCATTAATCATTCATTAATAATATACAGAGTCATTAACTTGTATGAGAAAATATCCCTTTTTTCGGATTCTGGAATAAATCTTATATACGCCATACGGTATTTCAATATTGAAGAACTAAATACGAGGGTGGTAACCCTTATAAAAATTATATTTTTTAAATTTTTTTTAATCACCTTTAAATTTATTTATTTCGTAAATTGCACTGTACAAATAAACACAGGATTATCCTGTATATACGTGCATCGTACTATAATATGTAAATATTTAATATTTCTCCATTTATCATATGGAATTTAATTTCTATTTTACCTTTTCTACTTATATAAAAAAAAGTAACCAAAAGTTGATGTAATACAATGAAAATTATTCATGTACTTAAAGTATATATGTGTAATATATGCTCTAGCTTCCTGTTTAAATGAAGCGATCACCACTGCGGTCACTAATACTATTTTAAACTTTTAAAAAATTATTTAAAATTTTTGTTTTTATTTTTTAAGTCTTGCCAAATTTGTACAAGATACATAAATTTTTTTTTATAACTCACTGTTTTGTTTTTATTATTCATAAAGGCAAATTTTAAATTCAATGGTTGAATTCGCATTTGCAATTCTAGTAAAGATCTTCCATGTAACTCAGAAATCCAATCTTAAACTCAACCAAAATTCACTTATACAATTTGCAGACTGAAACTTTGATGTGATTCTCAAAAATACTTCAACAAAAATGCTGATCCCCGATGACAAAACATAAATTTTATTATAATATTAAAAACTTTGAATCCCATACTACCGCTCTTAAAACCCTTGATCTGACTGGAACTTTGCAAGTTCTGAAAAGGTGGTTCCCGCAATATTAAACAGATAAAATCATTTCAATATTAGAAATTACCTGAGTACCATTCTACCACTATTAAAATTATTTCAAATTCTTCAGAAAAAGAGAGTCAACAATATGATCGAAATTTATTGAAATATAACGTAGCTTTTTCAGAAATTGTAATCCTTAATTAATCTTAAAAAAAAATCAAATGGAAAAGAGAAATATTATACAGTGGTTTCAAAGAACTTTATCAATTTTGGTAATTGTATAAAAGCTATTTTTCCCTCTCACAGCTCTTTTTCTAATTAACATCAATTTTCAATTCCAATCGATTTTAATCCTTATTAAAAACACAATTTTTTAAATCAACAATACAACAAAAAACATTTACTCAAAGATTATATAAAAATGATTTTTAACTACACTGTAACATTTTATGTAAAAAAATAAAAAAAAAAAATTTCCAAACTGTTTCCTATAATATGTTACAAGCTCTATCAGTTAATCCCAGATAATTCTGTTTTTTGTTTTGTTTTAATTGAAAAAAAAAAAAATAAATTAAGAGTTATAGACTCGGAAAAGAGGTTGTATTCGGCGTAAAAGAAAAAATCAGTATGAAAACAAAAAAAAAATTAAAACAATTTTAAATTTTTTACAATTACATAAAATAAAAAAATTTATACAATTTTTTTACATACAGATGAAAAAAAAAAACAACAAAATAAACCTTTATTTATTAACTTTACCTACATAAAATTTTTTTCTTTTACAAAATTTTTCCTATCTTTTCGCATTTTTTTTTTTGTTCTATAGATTTGTGCGGGAAACCAAAAAACATTTATTACAGGTGCTACAATAAGCCATAATAAAAAATAAAAAATGTAAAATTTTATTCAATTTTTTTTGTAATTTTTTACTATTTTTCTTATTTTTTACCATTAAAATAAAAAAAAATCGAAAAGGTTTTGTTCAGACAGACAAAAAACAAATAGAAAAAGCAAAGTTATGCTCTTTTTTAATCCAAAAAGTTAAAAACTTTAAAATTCGTTGCAATTAAATTTTTGCTTTCTGTAACAGAAAAAAAAAAAACTATTTTTTTCCTAACCAGACAAATTTATTAAAGAAAAACTTAAATATTTTGGATAAGCGAACCAAAAAAATAAAAGTAACAAAAAGTAAAAATCGTTTTAAATTCTACTTAGAAGTGAGGTTTTAAATTAAAATGGAAAAAACTCGTTTTATCTACATAAAAATTTACCATTAAAATGTGTTGAGGGATTTTGCAAAAAAAAAAAAAAAATATTCTTAAAGCCCTTAAAAAATTTTTAAAAAAATAAAAATCAAAAACTTTTAATTAATAATTTTAAGTGAATCTTTCAAAGTACTTTTTTTTCTTTTGGAAAAATTTTTAGTGTTTAACAGTCTAACAATTTTCTTTTTCTTAATTTGTAAGAAATAAAATTTAGAAAAATTAGAATTTTTTAATAAAACTTAAATGTTAGGAATCTTAACCGGTTTTCGAGAAATTCGAGCTGATTATATTGAGGGTCGGAAAAAGATAGATCCGGCAAAGTACTACAATGAAGCAAATCTCAATTACTACTAGCCTAAAGCCTAATGTATATTATGCACAATTACCAAAAATTTTATTAAAGATTTTAAATACTTATTTTTTCAAAAAATAATTCTTATATAAGTTAAATACAAATTTAAAATGAAACTAATTACACCAATTTACACTGTTCAACACATAGTTAAAAATGTTTAAATTTCCTTTGAAAAACTTTCTTTTACGTAAACTTTCTATAAGAAAGCAAATGATAACATAAAAATTAAAGCTAGTTGAACAGTGTAAAACCATGATAGAAATATATTAAAATAGTTTAAGAAAATTGACAACACATTGTCAAATTATTCTTAAGTGCTACAATCCAATATAATACGGTTTTTAAAAGCAAATCAAAAACTTAATTATAAACAATAAAAAAACTTAAATAATATATTTTTGGAATTAATTTTTTTTTTTAAATTCTAATGGAAAATATGAGATCAATTTATGATTTTAGTTTACAAAATGATATTTTCAACATTATTAGTTTGCATTTACAATTTAATTTAGTATTTAATACATAAATACATATTTCTTAATTCTTAAATATAATTGTAAATTTTATATTAAAGGCTACATTATTCTTAAATATTTATAAAAAAAATATTGTTATTAAATACAAATTTATTAAATTTACATTATTTATTATAAAATTTTCCTATTTTTTTTTTTTTCTGCTTTGTACAGATTTTACCTCAGTCACAATACAGCCTTAGTCAAATTATTAAAAAAATTAGGTTCAAGACCAATTCCACAATGGTTAAAAGATGATCTATCAACAACATCATGAGGTTACGCCATTCATCATAATAAAATATCACGTCATAAAAGAAAACGTAAAAAATTACAACGTCAAACAAAACAACATTATTCTGATAATAATTACTATAATAATAACAATAATAATAATATAATTAATTCAATTAATAAATATAATAAAATCAGTGTAAAAAATATTTTTAAATGTCTGATACTCTTAAATAATTGTTAAAATTATAGTAAGTATATAAAATTAAAATGAACATTAATTTTTAAATATTTGTATAGAAATAATATTATATGTATATTGTAAAATAAACAAAATATGTAATTAATTCAAAATACTAATAAAAAAAATAAAATTTATTAATATAATAAAATTATTTAATATAAGTTAAAAAAAGAAAAAGAATTACAAGTAAATTATTAAGCAATAATTCAAAAACATATTGAAAAAAAAAATGCAAAAAAAAAAAAAAAAAATATTAAAACAAAAAATTATGTAAAAAATATTTTAATAAAAATTCTCTGTAAAATAAAAATTTTAAATGTAAAATGTATAAAATATATAATATAATTATAATAATTAAATTTTAAAAATTTATTACTAATAATTTTAAAAAATAATTAGTAAAATATACTAGTAAATAAATAAATTAATTATATATATATAGAAATGGGCTTTTAGAAATTAAATTAAATTAAAATTAATTAAATTATATGTCAAAATAAATAATTTTTTTTTTGTTTTTTTTTTTTTTATAAAAATATTTGAATATTTCTTTTTCTATATTATAATAAAAATTAATTATGTAATAAAAGGACATAGAAATATTATTTCTTTTAGAAATGAATATGAAAATAATATAAAATATAATAAATAAAATGTACATATTATTTATAAATGAATGTACATTAAATAAAAGTTCTTATGTTTATAATATTATAATAAAATTACTTTTAAAGCTAACATAATAAATATAAAATAGAGAAAAGTAATATACTAAATGCAGTAATATCCTTATTATTAAACTAGTCAATATTTTTTTATTTGCATACAAACACGCCTACAATACAATATTAAATTTTCATATTACTATTATAAGTAATATAAATTTTTTTTTTTTAATTTCTCATTTACAATATTTGAATTTTAATTTTAAATATTTAATTATTTTTTTATACATTTTGAAGAGATAAATATTTTAACATAATTTGTAGGGAATGAATACCTACTTACAATTTCCGATTGTTAAAATTTTAAAAATTCAATAAATCCCTAATAAAATTTAAGCTAATAAATTTATTTTATTTGTAATTAAAAAATATATTTAACTACTAAATTTTATTTATAAAATTTATTTTAAATACATAATTGAATTAATAATGGATCCAATATTTTCACTAACATTCTCTTAAAATGGAAACCATTATAATTTTATTACAAATTTTAAATTATACTCATATTTACATATTATACTTAACAATTTTGGTATTTAATAAAATTTTATTTTTTTTTTGTTAGTAATAAATTAAAAGTAACATATGATATCATGTTGTTTTTATAATTTAAATTTTTAATATTCAAATTAGTATTCAAATTTTTAATAGATTTCATAATATGGTAACATAATAAAAATTTACAAATATAGCTTAAATTTTATATTGAATATAATTTTTTATATGTAAATGTAATTACATAAATAATATGGAAAATTAAATTTCAAATTTGTAAGACTAAATTATTAAATTTAAAGAGTTTAAGAAATGTAGGTAGTTAATTTTATAAATCTTATGCTAATAAAGCTTCAATATTTTACCCACATTATTTTTCATTTACAATTTTATTTATTAATATTATAAAAAATATAAAATACTGAATAGTATTTTAAAAATAAATAAAATATCGGAAAATTTTAACATTGACTAGTTGAAAAATATTAAGTTGACTAATAATAATGAATAATTTTAGTTAATAGATTAATAATACATAATAAATTATATATAAAAAAAAATCAAAAAAATAAATAAATAACGCTTTATATAATAAAATTTTGATATAAATGAATGTGGTATTTATAATACCAATAATTTCATTATATAATAGAAAATTAATATAATTTTCTTTTTTAATTTTTATTTTAAAAAAAATATTGTATATTTATATTGAATTTTTCTTTTCATTTGTTTTTATATATATTTGTATACATAATATATTTCAATTGAAATTTAATATAAAATGCAGTAAACTAATTACATTATTAAAAAAATTAATTTGGCTTGCAAATATTACAAATTCAATTATTATTAAAATTATTTTATTACTCTCTTATTATATTCTTCTTATTTTTTTACATTTTAATGTAATTTATGTTTCATTTATGTTCTTGTAAACGAAAATATTATTGTAAATTCAATAATACCAATGCCAAAAAAAATTGTTTTTCTTTTATTAATTCGATATATTTAGGAGCACATAAATAGTATGTCCTTCCTTATAAGATCTACTGTATAAATACTTATTTATGTTTAACACAAATATAAATATATACCCATATTCCCTTAAATACATCACTTATTAGTTATTACAAACAGGATATTTTTAGGTTTTAAGTATAGAATTCTAAATTCTAAAATTGTTTTTTCAATTCTTCTAGAAAATACAAAAAAAAAATTAAGAGAATATGGGAATCACAAATTATACGAAATGGTAAATTATAATATTATATTTTTTTTTGTGTACCTAAAATTTTAAACTAATAAATTATTTTTTTTGTTCAATTAAAACCTAAAAATATATATATGTATATATTATGTATTGTATATATAAATGAGAATTGAAAAAATATTAACTTATAAAGTTATGTAAGGGTTTACTTTAAGAAAGAGAAAAAACAAAAGAGTTAAAAACAAAACACAAAATATAATTATATATGATGTTCAATTAATTTTATTAAATTTTTTACATTTATTTTTCTGTTAAAAAAAAAAATAATAATATTTTCAAATATTCAAAATTAATATAAATCCATTTATAATAGCGTGATTACAAGAAAAATTTATTTGCAGAAGAATAAGCATGTAAAAATGATTAATAATAAGTTTAAATAATTAATAACATTTTAAACTGGATTAAATAAATTTAATAACATTAATATTGTCTATATTTTAGAATTCTATTAAAATTTTATTTAAAGATTTTTCGTATTTTCAATTACAACTATCAAAAATCCTCTACATCACTATAATTATCATACAAATCAAAAATTAAAAATATAAAAAATTTCCTTATTAAATTTATTTTATGAAATTTATTAAACGAAATTTATTAAATTTATTAAATGAAGATATATTATTTTCATAATTTTAGAAAAAGCAAAATTAATTTTTATTTTCTTTAATAAAAATAAAAAACATCAAGTGTACATAATAAAAACAGAATTATATGAAAATCATAAATATTAAAATATTCAGAAATAAAATGGAAATTTCGAAAATTCATAAAATTCAGATGATCGCGCTTTATATTTAGAATATCAAGATCAAAATTAAATACTAATTTTTCTAATTTATTTTTTAATATTAATGCAAATCAAGAAACAGTATATAAAAAAATTAATTTGAAAATTAAAAAGAAAAGAAATTATTCCATTATAATGTACCTAAAATAAAGAAAATAGTTTAAATTATTAATAAATTGATTACATATTTTATACCAATTTTTATATTTTTTTTTTCAATTTTATTTGGTTTTTTCAATGTTCAATTTAAATAATTCGCTCCTTTACTATACATAAATTACAAAAAATTCTTCTACTTCTTATACTGCACATTTTAATTATTTTTTAAAAATGTTAATTTCTTTCTAATATTTTATATTTAATAATATATTTCATAATTTATTATGAAAAATGTTAAAATATTTAAAAATATCTTTCAGAAAGAAAACAAAAATAAAAATTCTATTTTAGTGATATTTTTTCAAGAAAAAATAAAAATGTAAATTAGAAAAAAAATAGAAAAGAAAAAAATAATATAAAATGTACAATTATTAATTTTAAAGCAAAAAGAAACAAAATTATACAAAACTAAAAATTAAATGATGTAAATGTATATTATATAAGAAAAAAAAAATTGCTGTATACTAAAATTAAGATTCAATGAGAAGCTAATTTAGATTCAGAAATGGAAAAAAAGAAATAAAAAAGAAAATTTATGAATTAAACCCTTTGCAGACAATAAAGAAACTCGATTAAAAAAAATAAAAAAAAAAATTAAGTTTTTTATTTTGAAGGCAATAATGCAGTCTTTTAAAATCATGTATACAAAAAAAATGAGTCAAAATTTGAGAAACCATCATCCTTGTTTGTACGGAATATATTTTAATGAATTTTATATTTCAAATGACGGTGAATAAAGGATGGAATAATAACAGGTATGAGAACCATTTTAGTATCTTTACAGCATTTAATCTTGTTCAAAGGCAATATTAGTAATCAAAGGCACTAGATTTCGACACTAATTTTGGTGTCGTTTTCATAATTAATTTTACTTGCCTACAGAGATGTTAACGTACCGATCAATTATTTGTTCCATTACTTATTAAAATTTCTAAAAAAAAATATATATATATATCAAGAGTAGATGACATTATACAACTGATATGATTAACCATTAAAATTGGTAACCAATTTAGCCGTTTGAAATATGGTACATCTTATTATCTTATTACTAATTATTAGTATTACAAATCATAGAGAATTATTAATCTAATGTGGGTACATTAATAATAGGTAATTGAAATTAAAAATAACCTACAAAATACATTAAATGATTTAAATCAATATATTAACCATATATACATATGTATATATATATATAAACAATAAAATTAAAAATATATTCTTGCTTTATATAAAATCATTGATATAATGAAGATGGGATATAATATTTTTAAATTAACAAATCAATTACCTATTACAGAAAATTTAAATTTAAAAATTTGTATTTATTTCATCAATTTATTTCAATTAATTTGTCGTCAATTATATTCTAATTAAAACAAAATTATATGTTAGTACATACATATAAAATTAAAATCGATTCAGTCCAACTTATTTTAAAAAATATTAATATCTATTGTCATTAAGAAAATTAAGAATATTATTCATTATAAAAAATATAAAAGTAAAAATAATAAACAAAAACATTCACAACTCTTTCATTAATAACATATAAAAAAACAAAAAAAAAAAATATATTGCTTTTGGCCTTATTTTGTCAGTTCCACTTTAGTCATAATTTTCGTTCTACATAAATTTCTAGAGAAATTCTTAAATCGATCTTCTTCAAAATCATCTTTTAATGATGAATTTTTGATTATTATTTTTAATTTTTCTGTTGACGGTTTATATGATATTTTCGAATCAGGAATATTACGTGCTGTAGAATAATATTGCATCCATTGACCATGATGACAATAAAATACTTGTGACATTTTTGGATTGGTCATGATTATACTTGAAGTTGAATTTTTATATATTGAATTTAGTTTAGCATCAAATTCTTCAGTGGACATAATTTTTTTTTCACTTTGGAGTTTTTGAATAAAATTAAAAATAAACTAAAATGAAAATATTTTTGTTTATTATTGATTTGATTTTAAATTTTTTTTAGAAGGTACGTGTTTATGCTCTACCCTTCACTAATTCAACATAACCTAATATATTGTAAAATAAATAACGTAACGGTTAAACCGTTTCATTCATTTAATATACCTAATTTATACTGTAGAAAAGTACAAGAACAAAACTCTTTCATCCGGCAAATTTCCTCAAAAATAAAAGTTTAAATTAATCTTTCAATAAAAATAATTTTATTGTTCGGATTTAAAATATTTTTCAAAACTTTTTTAATTTAAATATTTTATTTGTCACACACTTCACATAGCACATGAATTTTTCACTTATTATGACAAAACATATTTGTTGTCAAAATTTTTAATTTTAACCATGTTCACACAAGTCATTTAAACATCACTTTCAATATTACCCAATTCGAAAATATTAACCTGAACAATATAATTGATAATACGAGTATTGATTTGTAAGTGTTAGAATATTACTTCTTTCAATTTAAGCAGTAACAGTTTTAAAGAAAAGTGCACGAAAACTAAGTTTAAAATTAAAGATGAGTTGAAGTTGATGAGAGAGAAGTTCTACTTATATTATATTATTACGGATATTTGTGAAGTAGAGTGCCTAGATTTGATATTATTAATATCAGTTTAACTAATTGTAGTTTAAAGATCTTAGACAACGTAAAATATTTCTTTTTGAAAATGTCACAAAATAAGTTTGTAACATGAGATTTTGGAATTATTGTCTTTAAGGAACCGCAAAAGCTCCCTGACGAAACATATTACTCTTTTTAAGGAGATAATTTTTTAAGTTAACATTTTTAAAAGTTTCATACATATATGAATTTATGAATAAAAATCCCATATATATTACAAAAAAGGTATTTTGATAATTTATATTAAGCATTTAGATAATTTTTTAATTAGTAACTTTTGATTACTAATTAATTAACAATTATGTTTAATTGGAATTGTAAGTTTTCTAACTGACAGAAGAGGCGCTTTCAATCATTGATTATTTACGAATCAAAACGTCAAAAATGAATGTCACTACATTTAATTTTATTTCGAATTCGGCAAGTCATTTTCCTAATATTTCCATAATTTTATGGTAGTTAAGTGAATGTTTTAAAATTGATAATTTATTTTCACATAGAGTTGAAAAGCCAACATCATAAACAAAGCAATAAAAATACCCTTAATTACGGAATTTATACATTGTTTTTAAAATAAAAGGGGATAATTGTAATTTTATACGATGGCCGTACGTTCAATTAATGACGAAACACATTTTCAATCGGAATTAAGTGCAGCTGGAGTAAAATTGGTTGTGGTAGACTTTACGGCACAATGGTAATACATATATTAATAATTTTTCAAATGAAGTTTAATGTGAACTTACGAAATAGGTGTGGTCCTTGCCAAAGAATTGCACCGCAATTTGAACAATTACCTAGTAAATATCCACAAGCAGTATTCTTAAAAGTTGATGTTGATAAATGTCAAGATACTGCAATGACGCAAGGTGTGTCTGCAATGCCTACTTTTATACTGTATAGAAACAAAGTAAGTAAATTCAATTATTGCTCTATGTATATAGTTTTTTTTTTATTAAGTCACTCAAAGTTTTTCAATTTATAGACAAAAGTCGATAGATTACAAGGTGCAGATATTTTAGGTTTGGAAGCTAAAATAAAACAGCATATTGGAAGTGAGGAATCTTCTGGCGAGGATTGTGGCCAAGGTTTACTTGAACTTAATGCATTTATTCAAAAAGATCAGTGTGAGTGTTTAAATGAATCTGATGATCATCCATTACAGCATTGTTTAACCAATGTTCCTGGATTTTTACAATCTGATGTTGACGAAGAATTAATTATATCGGTAACATTTAACCAAGCTGTAAAAATTCATTCACTAAGAATTGAAGGTCCTCCAAATTTAGGACCAAAAGAAATAAAATTATTTATTAACCAACCAAGAACAATAGATTTTGACATGGCAGAATCTTGCACTTCCGTACAAGATTTAACGTTAGTTCTTTAATCAATAATATGTACACAGAATTTTTTTAACAAGAAAAAATTTCTTTATAGGCTCACTCCATCTGATTTAGAAGGCAACGCTGTAAACTTAAAATATGTTAAATTTCAAAACGTAACTAACATTCAAGTGTTTGTGAGAAATAATCAGAGTGGTGGTGAGATTACACGAATCGATCGTTTAAGTTTTATTGGTTCACCTTTAGCTACAACAAAGATGGAGGACTTTAAACGTGTTTCTGGCAAAAAAGGAGAAAGTCATTAATTATTCATTACAAATCATAGATATTTGATCAAATCATTTTTGTTTATTTAGAAAATATAAAATAAAAACAAGTTTCATGAAAAAAAATATAGAAAAACGAATTTTATAAAATAATTTCTTTTTTTTTGCACAATGAAGATCCTGTCACCAACTACTTCAAATTTCTAAAAACCAGCAATACGATCACATAAACTTTTCCAAGCTTTTTCTGCTTGATATTTTGTATATTCATAACTCCATTCAGATGAAAATATGACATTGGATTTTTTGACGAATTCTTTGTTATGAGGTTGATTTTCAATTCTCTTTCTAGCTTCTTCTTCGGACAATTTATTACGTTCTTGCACTCTTTTAATCGCTGTATTTGGTGAAATTATCATGGACCATACTTCATGACACTCTTTTTCCCATCCAGCTCGTAATAACAGAGCGGCTTCCAACACAACTATCTTTACATCCTTCAACTCCGAAATTTTTCGTTTTACTTCTTTCATTATCGCTGGCCAAACCAAATTATTTAATATTTCTAATTCTTTTGAATCATTAAAAACTATAGCTCCTAATTTTTTTCTGTCAATTTTATTATTAGAATCAATTATATCTCGCCCAAAATGTGCAATAATGCTTTCATATGCTGGTGTGCCTGGTTCATAAACTTCATGTGCAACCTTATCACAGTCTATTACAAACGCTCCCATTTCCCCAAGTCTTTGTGCCATCACACTTTTTCCCGAACCTATACTCCCTGTTAAACCAATAATGTAGGGCTGTTTAGACAAGTTTACTCGTGGCTAAAATATACAATATTATGTTTTATTAAAAACTCAAAACATTAAGTATGTAGATGCAAATAAGAAATACATACTGCAGGCTCTTGAAGTAATGTTCCTAAAAGATCCATTCTTAAATTACAAGAACTTATTTTAGATTCCTTATGTTTATTATTTTCATCTATATCAGCTTCAGCTAACTTAATAGTAAAAATTTCCAATTCTTTCAAGCCATTCTCTTTTCGAATTTCGTTTACTTTTAAAGCTCCCTTATATGTTTCTGCACTTACTATTATCATATCCATATTAGGATCTGATTTGGTGGGCCCAAAAGCATCTTGTATAACAACAACTTCATACTGAAGATTGGAATCAATTTCCGAAAGGAAATTTTTAACATCATTAATTCTTTGCTCGGTAGGTAAAATTAATTCTGTAAGCGTTTTATCTACAAAATATAAAATTTTATTATTTGAAATTTTACCATAATAATTTTAAATAATATTCTTACTGTGCAACATATTTTCATCAGTTACACCAACAACAAGTCTTTTACAAGCTCTTAGAACAGCTTCCGTCAAAAAGATTTTATGACCTGTATGAATTCTATCAAATGTTCCACCCAAAACTACAGTATCATATGTTTTATATTCCATATTTTCAGCATTGTTACAATCAATTTCGAAACATGGGCGAGTTTCATTGCTTAAAATAACTTCCGGTTTATCAATTTGATAAAATTTTTTTAAAGAATCACATATTTCAGAAAATTGTCCGTCACAAAAAATATGCTGGACATTTCGCAACTCGGAGAATTTTTGCTTTTTAATCGGATCAACGAGTATTCGTACATCTATAGTGGAATCATAATATGATGAATCCAAATAAATTTCTCTTATCACTGAACTCCATTGAGGCACTTGTACTTTGACCTCTGAAGGAATATTTAAATGTATATAAAGATTTTTAATAAGTTTTTTAATTTCTGTAATTGCAGTTTTAATATTTTTAATATTTGATAAAACTAATATCCCAGCAGGTTTCATATTTAATTGAATTATAATGTATGAAATAATGACCCAATTTTTTATGGTACAATTAAAAACAAATAATTATAAATAAACATATGAACCAAATGTCAAAATCTTCATCGTGTCGAAAATTTAATAAGAAAACAATAAAGAATGATACGTCAAATCAAAGTAATAGATGAATTGGAAATAGACTGAAAATGCAAAAAATTAACTTCAGCCAAAAATTGGAAAACAGCTGAGTTCTCATTTTTAGATTCTTATAGCCAAATACTTCACTATCAAAAGAACTTTTTGAACGCTCCAAATTTTTGGGAAAGTGCAGCAAACATTTCACATATTAGCTTTATACAATTAGATTTTGTCTTTTTTTTTTAATGAAAATTCGCAGCTTAGAAAGAAGTGAAACTGAGTTATTAACTTGTATACCTGAGGCATTTTTTAATTTTTATTTTATTATGTAATATTTATTGATATCGCAGTTACATTCACAGGATACTTGAAAATAATTACAATCAACGAATTAGTATTGTTAATTTTTTTGTTAGTCGATATACACAAGCATCATATTGTATCAAACCACAAATTTAAAAACATATTAAACTTATTTTTGAATCAACAGAAAGCGCCTCCTCTTAATCTTTTATTTTGATTTTTTTGGAAATTTAAGCAACGCTACAAATAACCACATTGCAACAATATCATTGTAAATTTTGTTTTGTTGCTACTTCCTTTCGGCTTCTATACTTACTTGTAGTTTATAATCAGTTTGTTAACGGAATTCTTAAAAAATTACAGCGACACCACATCTAACTACAGAAGTATACAAAATGTCAATTATTGCAATTGATTACTACACATTACATTTAAACTTATTACCACATTGCAACATGTTACATATTTTATGATGTTAAACAATATAACAACAAAATAGATTTTTCCTAATAAGAATAAAAACCTTTTTCTTGAGGATAATATTACAAAGTTGAAACTAAGCAGAAAACCTAATGGAGAAGTAAACTAGTGAAAAAGATGCAAGATGTCTGGTCATTCTCTTGTAGAAGTTTTAAGAATTCTTGAAAGTCAAAATCTAACAGAATTAGATGACACAAAAAAGGCCATTGCAAAAGTATCCAATGAAATATCAAAAAACAAGGAAAATATTAAAATCCATATTGAAAAAAACTTTAACAATTTATATTCAAATGTAAACAGTACTGAAAATATACTAAACGAAGGCGAAAATATAATACGAGAGGTAAGTAAGTGGGTATACCGTAGCCTCAAAACTAAAAATTGTGAATTAATCAATACTTTTTAGGTGAAAAATATTCTTAAAGAAATTGAAAATGAAACTAAATTACAATTGCAAATGAGTGATAATGAAATTGAACATTTTAAAGAGGAATTACTTGAAATTTTTCTTGGTTTGAAAATCGCTCAGAAACTTTTAAAAATTGATGAATTGTTTGAACAGCTTGAAGAGATAAAAAAAACCGAAGACACTCTTGTAATAATGGAAATAGTAGGTAAATTAAAAAGTTTAATATTTGATGGAAACGACAAAGTATTACCACGATTAGTGTGTTATCAGCAAATAAAAGTAAAATATTATACAGAATCTGAAATGCTTCTATGCAATTTAAATCAACAATTTGATGAATTAGTTAAACTAGAGGAAAATATTTCAAATGATGATATTAAAATAACAACAATTAAAATTTCTAAAGATCAAAATAAATTAAAAAATATTATCATCGGTTTATTCAACGCTAAATATAATCCTACAAAAATTTGTTCGTTTTTATTAAGTAAAACCTTCGAACCTATAATAAAAACAGAGGTTTCTTTAAATTTTAATGAAGACAATATATGTGAATATAATGAATTAATACTATCATATAAGGTAAAAAGTTTAACCATGGATCTTGAAAAACCTAATTACAATACAGTTTTAGATAATATAGTAAAAGTATTAAATTTTCTTCATATTATTAATATTCAAATTTCAGAAACAATATGTGTTTTTAAAATATTTGGCAAATTTTTGAAAGATAGATTTTTGGAATCATTAATAAATAAATGTTTAGTGCACTCCATTCCAGATGTATCAGAAGAAATGAGAGATTCCACTTTCATAAAAGATATATTAAAGTTTAATGAAATTTTAATTGATTTTCAATTAATTGATATTAATAAAGATAAAGAATTGATTTCATTTATTGATAATGTTGTTATGCTTTCAAAAAATCGATTTCATAAGAAATGTATTGATGAAGCAATAAATATTATGAAAAAGGATCTATATAATATGGTTCGTGTTGAGAAAAGCGTTTCTTCAGACTTGGTAAACCAAAAATATGCATTTCCACAATGTATGGTATCTAAAAGTATATTGGTAAGTTTGCAATTATTAAAATATTGTATAAATAAAATATTCTTATTTTAAAATTTGAAAATTTTCAGGAATTAGTTACTTTATTGAATAAAATAATTGAGGAAGAAGATGAGAAAAGCTTTGCAGTTATTTCTTCAATCATAAATTATTATATTGAAGAAGTTCCAAAATATCATGAAAAGATGTTAAAAAGTATTCCGCAACAAACTGCTTTATTTTTTAATAATACTATGCATTTAGCAAATTGGCTATTATCACATTTTGATGATGATAATGGAGAAGTACAAAATCTATTTCAATTATTAGAAAATTTAGCTTCAGAGTATTTTGCAAAAGAAGTTGAAACACAACATAATAACTTGTATACATTTTTTAAGAATTTTGGTAAAATTTCAATTTTAATATGATGTCAAGATATTTTCCACTTTTCATTTTTAAAGATTTATCGGATGCCGTTTCCGAATTGGGGTCTGAAACACAAAAAGTTATTCTACAATGTTTACGTCAATTGGATTTATTAAAGAATGTTTGGCAATCTATATTAACAGATGACATGTACAATAATACTATGTTAAATTTAATTGATGATTTTTGCAAGGAGCTTATAAAAAATATAATGATAATTGAAGATATATCATCTGCAGTATCAACAGAACTTGTAGAAATTATTGACATTATTGAAGAAAGAATTCCGCGTTTATTCGAAGTACAAAACCATATAATTTAGTTATTTTTCAAGAACGATTTAAATTCTTTATATTTTCAGGATCAAAATATTATAATTCAAGCAAAATTTTGGCTTAAGTTAAAACAACTTAAAACTATATTGGGTGCCAGCATGTTACAGATAACGGAATTATGGCTAGATGGTGTTGGACCATTAAGTTTAAATTTTAAAGCTGAAGAAATTAGACACCTTATAAGAGCACTTTTTCAAAATACGGAAAGAAGGGCAAATACACTAGCTTCTATTATATAAAATTTAAATACTTGAATAGTATTCAGCTTTTATGGGTATACGTCATGTTTTCAGAAAACTAATGTTAACAATGTTAAATTACAATTTTAATAAAATATTTCTTTTTCAGTCCAAAAAATTTTGTGTTTTTATTACATTTTCCTACTATCTATATACATACGTATTAATATGGTCTTATATGTGATTGAGTTGCATGAGTTAATATCCACGATTTTTTATCTTTAGCCTTCATTGCCATTTGCTTATGTCTAGGATGTGTTTTACATAGAACATGCAATCTCTGTTGCCTCATTACAAAAAAGCAGTCCTTACATCTTCTTTTTAATCTTCCCTTAACCTAAAAACATACAAATTAGTATATACATTTTTTGTTAATTTATGTTTATTAATATTACTTTAAATCCTGCTACTTGATTTATCAAAAAAGAAACGGGTTGTAAAATTTGCGATTTTTGTATAAAAGTTTGCGAAGGCATTATTGGTAGACCATTATTGTACGGCACTAAAGCTGTTTGCGTAATAAAATTTTGAAGCGAAGTGAAAGTCCTTGCAGCTAAATGTGTAAAATTGCTTCGAAAACCGATATTAATTATTTTATTAAATATCATTTTTATTTAAATAAATTAATATATTTAAAAAATTATCAATACAGTATTCGAACTAACAAAATATTCTGTATTCTATTCACAAAATAATGACATATGACATATTTGTAAATTCACAATTGAATAATAGAATTGAACTGAAAAGTTAGCACTACATAACTATAACACTCTTTGTGAAATCAGTAGTTCTTTTTCTAAGCAACTAATGCTCAATGTTTCACATTATTGTTAAATATATGGTATTAAATTATATAACGCGACTTAGAAGAACGAGTCTAAATTTTTACATAAATTTTTATGAATACAATGTATGTATGTACATAATGTATAAAATGAAATCAAAATCAAATAATTATGATACATATTTATATTTGACACTTTTTTGTAAGTTTGTTGGGTGACCTGAAATTTATTTTATCAGCTGATTTGTGTTTACTAGAATTTATGCTTCATATGTTCTGTCAATGTCAAAAACATTGTAGTATACTATGCATTTCTTTTAAAAGTCGTGAAAAACAACACACTAGGTGCTTTACCTAATTAGAATTTAACCAAAAAAAAAATTCTTTAAAACAAAATCACATTTTCTAAATTAAATTTTTTAAGCCAAAAATATAAATAGTACATGTAAATAAAAGTAGAAATTGTTTAAATGACTACAATAGTAAAAAATGCCTTATTCTCACATATATCGGGTAAAAGTTTTATGTTTCCATGTACATTAACACTAACTCAAATACGTGAAAGAGGCTATTTGGTCAAACCAAGATTAAAAAATCCATCTTGGTTCGTAAAAAAAAATTATTTAGCGAATGAAGATTTATTAACACACGAAAACAAAAATTTCGTACAAGAAGTCGTTAAAGAACAATATGTATTGTCGAATGAAAAAAGTTTGGTGAAACTCAACGAATTCAAAGAAGTAGAATGGTCACCAAAATTGAGAAGAACTGGAGTTTTAGCTAGAAAAATTGGTCAATATCCAATGTGGTTAAAAAATGGGGATCGCATCCTTACGACTTTATTGCAAGTTGTCGATAATCACGTCATTAAGTATATTCCACCAGAGCAGTTTGATCCACCAAGAAAAACAGTGCAATTTAAACAAAGGGTTATTAAAAAGGAAAATAAACTTGGCTGCCTACTAGTAGGGGCTGAAAATGAGGATCCATCAGTTTTAACGAAAGAGTACTGTGGATTATTTAAAGATTCTGGTATTATGCCAAAGAAACATCTGGCTAGATTTGTTATATCTCCTGAAGCAGCATTAAGTCCTGGTACACCATTAAACGTTACACATTTCAGGGTAGGTGATTTTGTTGATGTTCGAGGCAAAACCATTGATCGTGGTTTTCAAGGCGTTGTGAAGCGCTGGGGATTTAAGGGTCAGCCAGCTTCACACGGAGTGACAAAAACTCACAGGCGCCCTGGAAATATTGGTGGAGGGGGTGAAAAAGGTCGTGTTTGGCCTGGTACCAAAATGCCTGGTCATATGGGCAACAGATGGAGAGTATTGAAAGGCTTAAAAATATGGCGTATGAATACCAAATATAATGTAATGTGGGTTCGGGGATGCTGTATACCTGGTGAAACAAACAGTTTAGTTTATATTTATGACACGATATTGCCACTTCCGCGTAGGAAAATATCACCGCCTTTTCCAACCAGTAACTTCGATGACTCTGAAGATATCCCAGAAGAAATTTTGTGCGAAGAACTTCACAATTTCAAAGATCCATCCCTAGATTTTAAGGAGGAAAGCAAGGCAAAGTGAAATATGTATAAATTTTTTATTAACTAAAAGAAATACGAATAAAAATTTTGAATCAAAGTTTTTTAATATTATTAATGAAGTTATTAATAATTAAAATTGAGGAAAATGCACACAATTATAAATTGGTTGTTGGAATTAATGGGTGTATTCAGAATTATGTTTTGACCACTTATTTTAATATTTCTTTTTTATAGATAAAAACCCAGATACATTTGAAAAGTATTTAGCATTATCTAAAGAATGTACTTCTGCTGCTTGAGGGTTTACTATTTCCAGTCCTTGCAAAGGGGTAAAAGCTACAGATGATGCTGTTCCGCATATTTGTCTTTTAACTGTTGTACTACCACCATAAACCTGTTGTTTTTGTAAATTTTTTTGTAATGTCTTGCTTATCCTTACTTTTGTTTTTTCGTCCACTTGTGGCAAACGTATTCGCCCAGCTCCAGATTTACCAATAGTACCACGATTGTAACCAAGATCTTCTTGGTATGCATCTTCATCAATATCTCCGAAATTCATTCTATTGGCATTTTTTCGTAATTCTGTTAAAGCGTATCGTTCTTTCATTTTTCTGACACGTTTACCACCCCTCTTCTTTTTTGAAACTTCAATTGGTTTTGGTAAAGGTTTAATAAATTTTACTGGAGGAGGTTCTTGTAATTTATCAAGCTTTTTTTCTATGTCTTCCTTCAATCTCAAACCTATCTCGCCATGAATTGATTCGTGGCATACATCTACACGCACAGCTAAAGCGCATTTGGCTGCTACCAATCGTGCGGCTTTCCTGCGTAAATCTGGTGGCGTGTCTTGCACAATTTGAGAAAAATATATTAAACCTGTATGTGGAAGCATTTGAACTTTGGAAAATCCAGAAAGAGTCTTTTTTTGTGCTCCCAACACTAATATATTGCATGCCGGTATTTTGGAAAGCTTCACCAAACCTCCAGCAATCCCTAGAATTTTAGCAGCAATGGAAGCGCCTATTATCATTGATAAATTTGGTGCTATATATGACATTCTACTTTCAACATATTCGAATATTTTCATTTTAAAATTATTAAGATCAATAGCCATATCGCAGGCTTCATTAATTTGCTGTAATTCTTCTGGTGCCAGAAATGTACCTTGCGTTGTTGAAGCTGTGACTGAAACAATCATTATTGTAGCTTGTGTTAAAATTTGTTGTAGTTTTTCATTGTTTTTGATTTGATCTAAATCATTGCCTAGCTCTTTTACAGCACTTAAATATTCCATTTCACCGATAATTAATGAGTCCAGTTCAGGAAAACGCTTTTGATATTTTTCTTTTGTAAATTTATGGATAATTGATATTTCATTATCAATGTCAGCTGCTAAGTAATTGGCTTCAACTATCAGTTGATATTCTGGATCAGACTCTAAATTTCCAATCATATTAACTAAATTTTCGGGATTTGTTGCACCTTCAATCATATTTAAAATACTTTGTAGACGTTCAGAATCTCTTAATTTACATAAATTTCTAATAGAAAAGGTGTTGGTATCGGGCAACGGTGTATTCGTCTCAAATTCAGTTGAGTTCACTTGAAATTTTTGTGTACTTTTGAGTAAATCTTGAAGATCATCACCATCGTCTTCCTCCAGATCAGCAATTAATTCATCAGCCAAAGACATATTTTATACTTTTCTTTCTTTTTCGTAAATGCAAAATTTTAACGTTTCGCAACGTTGTTGATTCCTTCCTTAATATTTGTTTTTTATATATTAATCATGTTTATTAAATTGTTGTTTTTAATCAACATGATAAATTGACAATAGAAGCTGTCATAAATGTCAAATGTCATTGCTGTAGGGATTGGGCTAGTACTAAATCTACTATTAATTGAATGAACTGATTAATGAATATTTTGTTCTTTCATTTAAAAATCTTGCTGGTATTTGTCATTCAAGTTGAAATGAAGCATGACCAATTCCAAATAACAAAAACTTAATTTTTGTGCCATATTATATTATGAAATTGTTTTCATGTGAAGCATTTTGCTTTGTAAATTAAATTTTAATTATTGCTTACTAATTATTTTTCAATTTTTGACATTGTTTTGATGGAATTTGTTAAAATAATATGATTGTTTAATATGTATGTATGTAAGTACTTGTTCAATTGCAATATATCCATTTTAGAATTTTTTCCAAAGAAAAAATAATTACTAAATACATGTACACATAATTAAAAATTCGCAAAAATATTTAATTAACTTAAAAATATTTTATTTTATTTTATTTGACTGGAAATTAATCGATGTACAATTTAATAGTTTCCATCACTACTTCAATATATATTTGACATATAAAATAGAAGTTCCAAAAGAAAAGAAAATCGATTATGAATTATTGTAATGACTAACGCTAAATAATAAATAAATAATTTTCATTTTAAATAAATATTATTAACGAAATTAAGAAAGAAAAAAACAAAACAGTATCTCATCAGAATAAAAATAAACAATGGAAGCTGTTCCAAGACTTCAAATGTTGAGCTTTGCTCTTAAAATTAGTCCAGAAGGGACATCGTTTTCCAATTTGAAAAGGGTAAAGAATTTGTAATTAAATTTAAAATTATTGTGCAAAATTAAATACTTATTAAAAATTAGAAGTAAAATGAGCAAGGATTGTGAAAAATTGCTTTTTTTTCAAGTATAATATTAGGAAACATAATTCTATATCTATTGAGAAAAAACAAAGGATTTAAGATACTTATTGTTTTGAAACCTTTATTCTGAAATTACTTACGTCATTATGTTTTCTTTAATTAAATAATTTTAAAATCCTTAAATAAATAATATTTGTTATTTCAGATTATTGCTGAATGTTATCAAGAAGATGCAGAATCATATTCAAAAGAAGTTTATACTTTAGAATCTTTAAGAAATGCTGCTATGCGACCGGAAAAGGATACAAATGGTTGTAAAATATTGAAACGCTATTATTCTCAATTACATGCATTAATAAATAGATTTCCTCAAATATCTGAAAGAAATTTATTTACATTTCAATGGAAAGATTTAAATGTTAATAATATAACAGAAACCAATGATATAAGATATGAAATGGCTGCTGTTCTTTATAATATTGCTGTTTTACATACTGAAGTTGGTGCGACCGTGCAACGTACTGACATTGAAGGAATGAAATTAGCTTGTACACATTTTCAATGTGCTGCATGGGCATTTGGTGAATTAAAAGAAAAATTTCAAAATATTAATTCAAATACAGATTTTATGACACCGGAATTATTAGTTTTTATGCAACAAATATCATTTGCTCAAGCTCAAGAATGTATTTTAGAAAAAAGTTTAATTGATAATCGTAAACCAATAATTGTAGCTAGAGTAACAGCACAAATTATTAATTATTATAGTACAGCTTTAGTTGTACTATTAAGTGGTGGTGATGATGGTTTTATATTTTCACAAGTTATCGATAATAATACATTGAAATTATGGAAAAAATATGTTAAATTTAAAATATCATATTTAAGTTGTATATTATCATTATATCAAGGGCAACATTCAGAAGAACAACAAAAAATGGGTGAACGTGTTGCTCTATATCAAGCGGCTGTTGATAAATTAGAGGAAGCAAGAAAAGAAAGTAAAGGTATGTAAGAGTTTTTAATATATTTATATAAAATTTATTGTAAATGAATAATTTTATATTTTTGTCACTTTCACTCTATTTCATTTACCTATAATATCGTATTTTCAATTCGTTGATTTGAAATCGTTGTAAAATTTTGTTTTAACTTCATAATAATGCAGTAAATATGAGACTGAAATACTTTTATCAATTTTTTGTTAATTTCCATGAAATCTTATTGAAAAAACAAACAAGAAAAACACAATTAAATAAAATATTCTAAATTTAAAATTAAAAACAAAAATGAAAATGTGAAAAGCATTTATCGACCATTGACCATATTATCATCTTCTATACACTTATTTATTTTATATAAATGTTTATATTTTATATCAAAATGAGGTCGCTTAATAAAATTTATATTCATTTATTCTTTAATTTATTTAGATATGTACAATGTTATCATTCTAATAATGATGAAAATTTCCAAAAAAAAAAACAAAATTTTTAAATACTTGCAATAAGATTATTAAACTATATTATTTCCATGGTAGTTAGTTCGAAACAAAGCGACATCACCTTATAAATTTTAATTTAAAAATAGTATGATCATTCAAATTTTTGATATTATCATGAATTTTTTTTTTTTCAAAATTATTATAGTACCCAAATATATTTTGTTTTGTCTAATGATCTTGAATTAAAATTTTTTTCTTTCTGGTTCGTACTATTATGAACTTACATAAATATTAAGGTCATAAACTTGTTTTGTTTTCTCGATATTTCAAAAAACATTTTTACATTCAATATGTTTGATTTACAATCGTAAATCAAAAATCTATATACATATATGTAGATATTAATTAACACATAAAAGAATAGAATTATAAATATTTTCATATAAATGTACATCAGTAGGTATTTATGTACTATTATTGTGTATATATAGATCTAAATGGGCAGAGATAATTTTAAAATGATGAGTCACATGTTTCATAGGTACAATAATTGCTTTTCATTATTAAAATGCTAGAATAATTTTTTTTTCTTGTATTAATATGGTAGATTTCTGAAAATTAATTGAATTTTTAAAACTAGATTTAAATCAAATTATGTCTGTTTAACTTCAGAAAAGGCTGTTTTGCTTTTCCAAAATGTTTGTAAATTTTTGTGTTTTTTATTAAACATCGCGATTGTGAGTAGTTACCTATCTACCTCCTACCTAATTATAGGGAAAAATACAAAAAAAAATTAAAGCTTCTACATTTTATTTGGCAATTTTCCAATATTTTAACTTGATTTTCATATGGGTGTTGATTTAGTCTTGTTTTATCCATTAAATTAATTCTTATTTTGTTTTGTTTCTCTGTATCTAATAACTTTAACCCGTAATAATGTGTGTTATTTTCCTCCACGTTTCATAAGCGTGTAATAAAATTTTCTATAATTTAAAAAATATTTATTTGCTGAGACCAAAGGGCAATTCATGATAAAAAAAGATGAAAATTAAAATTTTGAATTTTTTTCTTTATTTTTTTTTTGTTTTTGTTTTAATTCCAATTTTATTGCCAATCATATATAAAATATAAAAGGTATAAGTTATAAAAAATAATTTTTCTAAAGGATTTTGGTACATAATGACTAGTCATTGATATGAAAATACAATTACTTAATTATTAGAAAACAAAAGCACACAACATTAAAAAAAAAGATAAATAAATAAATAAATAAATATGTAAATATAGAAATATAAAGGTAAATATCAAACCAATATTTTTATTATAACAAAAGTTTTTATCTTTAAAATTTTTATTTCGATATTTACTATATTACCACTTAATAAATTTAGAATAGGCATGTGATATTAACAACAAAAAAATTTAAGAATATTTTTAACTTTTAATATTTAACAAAATTAATTTAAAGCGTATGAATATTGAAGTAATATTGTTAGTATTCTGTTTACAATCTCTTAATAATTACAATTTTTTTTGAAAATTTTATAATTTTTATATCTGTTTATCTTAAAGAAAAACATTTAATTTAAAAATTTTCAAAGAATTCTTAATTTTTATGTAATTGAAGCATAACAGTACCATATTCCCCAGTTAGCATCCAATTTGAATCTTTTTCAAATAATTTTTCAGCTAAACCTTCTTCAAGACCACATATTAAATCGGCTTTAACTGTACGTAATGAGCAAATATTTGTTGGATTAAAACCTCTTAAACATGTTTCAAATTTTTCAGTATAATCCCATGTAAAATCACCTAATAATTTTCGATAATTTAAATCACCTTTAATAATTAATAAATGTGCTTCAGATAATTTATCATATAAATGCGGTGCAATCTCTTTCATTCTATAATATTCATACGGTGAAATAAAAAATCGATCTGGTTCTAACAAAATAAATTTCCCTTGATCGACAAGTGATTTCCATTTATTACCAATTAATTTTAATTCTTCGTTATTATTTTCATATAAATATTTTAAAACCCATTCAAAATCTTCTGGCGTTGTATCTGATATAAACCATGGTATTGCTTTAATATAAAAACGAATTTTAGTCGCTAATTTATGTTCGATTATATATTCGGCTAACAAAAAATCAGTAAAAAGTTCATAACCAGCATTATCACATATAAAATCAATATATCGTTCACCAGTATATTTTTGTGATATTAAATTCCATATTTCTTCAGCCTGATCAATTAATATGTATTCTTTTAAATGGTCTACTGCTTCTAATTGATCACCAGTTTGTTTGATATCTTTACCTTCAGTAATTGATAAATCACATTTATTACCCCATAAATCAAGGTATAATAATTTTTTAAAGTATTTATCAATATCACTATCTAATGTTAGTGTTTGACGAGTACTCTTAACAAGTGATACAATTGAATCTTTTGATCCAATTAATGCTTTCTGTTTGGAAGATTTGAAATAATCAAAATTTTTTAATGTGGTAGTAGCTTCAAAAATTGTTTTTAAACGACGATACAAATAACATTCAGCCCATAGCCAACACGTTGAAAAATATGTTCTTTCATTTTCTGGTAACGAGCTCAAGAATATATTCCAAGTAGATTTATCGATTTCATTCGTCTCTAAAGGATATAGTTCTTTATCTGTTTGCAATTGATATTTTAATTCTGATATATTTCCAACGACTATTTTTAGCTCTTCACGTGCTTCTTCACTACATTCATTTATAATTGTATCTTTGTTCTGTGATAAATCATCAATTACTTTTGTTAATATTACTGGAAGTCGTTCACGTAATGTGTAATAAGCAAAACTCTGTTTGTACCTTCCTATCATAATAGAATGTCTAGGACATTTATCATCAATAATATTAGCATTTCTTTCAAATTCGACCATTTTGAATAAAATACTTTTATTTGAATCTTTTTCTGAATAATTAAACTGTTTAGCACTTATTTAAAAACGAAACTAAACTGATTAGAAGCAAAAAGTTTTATTTTTAGTCGAATAAAAATTCTCTTAACAAAAAGAAAAAAAGTCATTAATAAATCGGGAAGTCCATGTAGCACATGTTGCTAAGTGGAATTTTGACAAGGTCAATATATAATGTTTCATCAACATTGTTGTGGAACTTGTAGATTTTGTAAGTTTTCTATTAAATATCCGGAAATAATTTTTGCAAAAGCTTTAAACTGTTAAAAATTCTTAATATAAACTAAAAATTAATATTTTTGTTACTATTGTAGTAAATAAAATTAAAATAAAACATATTTCAATTTTAATTTTAAAGGTCTCCCAAATCAAAAGGAGATAATAGAAGCATTAACGTTTACAGGAGATGTAGTTGAAGGAAAACGTAAAAATGCAAAAAATGAAAATGAATTTATATACCATGAAGCCGTTCCAGAATTTTCTGATATTACTGCTGTACAAGGAGCTAATTTGGTTAATGGTACAAGTTTTAGTGTCACTGATCCCGAAATATTTGGGGAAGATATATTTGCTAGACTTGTTCCAATGAAGGCTCATGAAGCTAGCTCATTATATAGCGAAGAAAAAGCTAAAATTCTACGAGATATTGGTGCAAAATTGGAAGAAAAAGATAATGAGCTTTCAGTATTTATGAGTTCATTAAATATCGATAACTTAAATGTTAGTGAAGAACAGGCAAATAAAATTCCCCAAGGTATTGTTGACCGTTGTGCTCTTTTAAATGCGAAACCAAATGCGATACCTGACTTAATAGCATCAATGTCAAATTTAGCAGAAATATGTGTTGATGTTGAGACAAATTTACGTGATATTAAAGAAATTCTTGATGAGGAAGAATCTAAAGAAAAACAATATCAACAATCCACAGGTGTCCATAGACCAAATACACATTTTACAGAATTAACAAGAGAATTTCAAAAATATTTGGAAGCACATCAAAGAGCTGGCGATAGTAATGATACATTACGTAAAGCTATGGAACTGCATGTTAACAATTTGAAAATTTTATCAAAGCCATTACAAGAAATACAGCAAAGTATTCCAAAATTAAGTGGACATGTTAACGATGAAATGTTCAAAGAGCTAAAATTGATTTTAAATAAAGTAAATGAAATGAAAGCGCAACGGGCACAATTTCATGCAGATTTGCGAATATCGATTAACTCAGATGATATAACTAGTAAAGTTATAGCGCATGGTAACAACGACTTAAAAGAACTTTTCAAAAAGGAATTGGGGAAACATGATCACAATGTTAAACTAATCGAACAAAACTTAACTGCGCAAACTAATATTTTGACAGCGTTGACTGATGCATATGCTAAATGTGCTTCATCTCTGAAAACTATGAGTGATGTTAAGCTTAAAAAAGAAAATTTCTTTTCATCTCTTGCGGCTTCATATGATGTTTATGAAGATTTATTAGCGAAAAGTGCTAAAGGTAAGTAATAAGAATGAAACAATTTTCGGTTAAATTTAATTGATTTAAATTTTTAGGTTTGGAATTCTACAAGAAATTGCAAGGAAATATTCAAAAATTATTAACGAGAGTGAAAGCTGCAAGGGATGTTCAAGAAGAAGATAGGAAACAAAGAATCAAGTCAACTACGCTTGCTAAAAATTATCCAGAACTATCGCCTTCTGTTATTTCTTCTGCAGCACCCGCAAAAGAAATCGGAAGTACACCGAAATTAAAGGATTATTTAAAGGATCACAACACATCACTGAAAAATTTTTCGGGATATTCAAAAGTTTCCGATCCATCCAGTATGAATCATATTCCATCAATAAGACCTAACCCTTTAGGATCCGAAAATCCCGCGGCTGCTGCCTGTATTAAATCCACAACGAGCATTTCTGCTCCAACCAATCATTCCACTTATACTCCTGTGGGTCCAATGGACCCCCCTCCACCGTATACACCACTCCCCTCAATGTCTAATACAGGTTACGATTCAATGGGATTTGTTAACCCAATTTATCAAAACGCAGCCACAAACCACCCAAGTAATCCGTATTATATTGGTAATTATCAGCAAGCTGCTCAACAAATTCCGAATATGTATAGTAATGCAACGCAAAATCGATTGCAAAATCTGACGCATTTGCCACAACAACAAGTTCAACAACATTCAACATCGGTTCAACCAGTTTCAATAGCACAGGCAACATCTTTACCACAACAAACATTGGTTCCGCAACAAGGACAGCAAGGTGCATTACAACAAAATTCCATGTTGCTACAACAAGCTTCGCAATCACAATCACAAGTAGAGCAATATAAGTTACAGTCTTTTCAAAATTCATCATTGCAAAACCCAAATATGGCAAGCAATTCAATAACTTATTCGTCTGGTTATGGGTCTTCGCAAATTCCACCAACAAATTTACAGCAGCAACAACTTTATCAGGAACATTTACAACAACAAGTTCAAAAACAACAATCTCAACAGACGTCCTATTCTCCTTATCAAGTAAATCCAATGCTGCAAAATTTGTCTGCAGGCCAAAATGCCACTTTCATTCAAAATCAAATGAAAAATCTAACCATTAGAGCAGAATCACCTCAACAACCTATAACAAACTCATATTATCAGCAGTCATCATCACCTCAATATAATGTTCAGAATGTTCAAACTCAGTTTTCCCAAAATGTTGATCAAAATCAAAACGTAGCATCAGTGCAACAACAACAAAAACCTTCTCGAAATTTTGATCAATCATATCAAATTCAAAACTCACAATCTCAATTTCCCAGTATTCACTCACAATCGCAGCAACATTTAAATCAGATTGTTCAACAAAATCAGCAACAACAAAATGCTGCAAATACAAAGCGGACTGATGTCAATTCTGCCGAACAACAATATTCAAATCAAACAGTACCCCAAAATTATATTGGGCAATCAAATGCAGTAAATTTTTCGGTTCATCAGAACAATCCACATCAGTTTAGTACTCAAACAACAGTTCAGCAACAAATGCAACAGCAACAGCAGCTTCAACAACAACATCAACAAAACATGCAACAACAGCAACAACAGCCACCACAGCAGCAACAACATAATCAGCAGCAACAGCAACATCAAAAACAGCAATTGCAACAATTGCAGCAGTATCAGCAACAGTTTCCAAATTCTTCGAATTTTCAATATCCTCAACAAAATTCATCCATACCCTCTCAAATTTCAGCTTTTGGTTCACATCCGGGTTACTCCTTCAATCAATCAAGTGGTCAATACCAATATGGAAGTGGTTACCAATACGCTTCCAATAATACGGGACAAGGACAATATACGAATTCCACTAACTTTCAAGAGAATAAAGCTAGTAATACAACAAATGTTAATCAATTAGCAATTAGTTCTGGACTTAGTTCAAACTATGATAAACAGGTTCACTTTTAGATTATTTTCTTATAATGAATGAAAATAATTTCTTTATTTTATATTCCCTATTTTTACTTAGTGTAATAATACAAACCAAAAACCGTCGGTCGATGAAAATAACTATTCAAGTTCACAAAACGTTTTATATGCTAACAATACGTACCAACAGCCACTGCCGCCATTTACAGGTGGAATGACACAAAAACAACAAGATCACTTACAACCTATGATTCCAAACTCATCCCCTTTAACATATGTGCAAAGTAACAATAATAATAAAACTGAGACTACTACCAGCTCATCAGACGGTACGTAATATATATTATGAAATAAAAGAGTTTAAATGTTATTAAAGTTTTGTATTACAGGTTCTCAATTAAAACAAGAAAACAAGGAAGAAAAGACCACACAACAAACACCGAATCCGCAAGGAACACAAAACAAATCTTTACCATCTAATCAGTCATCAGCTAAGTTGAAAGCTAAACCAAAATCAACAAAAACAAATGTGGATTTATTAACTGATACAAATGATAATAACACGGTTCCAGTATTACCAGTTCCAGTTTTACAACCTTTGGTGGCAGTTAATAGATCAACAGAAACGACTGAATCTAAATTAAATAATTTAGTTAATGCGAGTACTGTCACAGACAGTAAACGTCAATCAATTAGTGGTGATATTGATAGCGGAATATCAGGAGATGGAAAGAATACAGATAGTAAAAAAATTCAACAGATCAATGAATCTACTGTTATAACTAGTACACCATCTTTTCAAAACGATACACAATTTTCATCGATCGATCGTAAATTCAGTTGTGATAATATATCTATTCATTCAGATTTAAGCTCTTTAGATCAAAATTTTGATTGGGATTCGGTTTCAATACAATCAAATGAAAAACTTTCAACATCAAATGATGTGAACAATGTTAATAGTTCAAAATCAAGTATTAATACAAATCAACAAAAACCAATAAGTACTGATCCTTTTGATGATTCTAATATTCTTAAATATTTTCATAAGGAAGTTGAACATTATGAAAAAGTAATCGATTCTTTGGGTGTTAAAATGCTAAATGGTAATACACCATTATATAATAAATGGAAAGATTTACAAGATCTTTTAATGAAAGATGAATCGAAACGTAGTGCAAATATTGCAAAATTATTCCCAGAAAAAAATCGAGCTCCCGATTCTATACCTTATGATCATGCAAGAGTCGTACTAGAACGGACAACTGACGACTATATTAATGCTGCATACGTAAAGGTAAAATATGTGTTATGAAAAATATAAATTTTTAGTTGAAATTAAATCTTATTTTATCACTTAAGTAAATTTAAAGTAATGTTAATACATACATATTATATTATGCGTAAATTGAATGTATTTTTAAATATTTGTAATATCAAAATTCCGCTGATATTAAGAGCTGAAAACAACCATAGTATTGTAATTTTTTTTTTTACACAAACTTACCAGAACTATCATATTTCTTCCTTTCTTTTACTTTAAAGTTTCAAAGGGAGTTTAAGTTGGTAAGTGGTAGTAAAATTGTATCCAAAACAAAATAAAAATATGATTTTGAATATTGCTCGAAATATCATGTGTAATTTATTTATGCACATTCATTTTAAAGTTTTAAGTACTATTAGGGAATTTTCACATTTTTTAAAAAAACAGAAGTAGTTTTACAATTTTATTTTGTGTATGTTTTAATATAGTTTTTTAATTTTCTTTATTTATTTTTAAATAAAATTTCTTGGTACAATTTGAATATATAGGATTTGGGACCAGGATGTCCCGCTATGATATTAGCGCAAACACCTTTACAAAATACAATAAATGATTTTTGGTCCATGGTTTGGAATCATAAAGTTAGAACAGTTGTTTGTCTTCATACTCCAAATGAGGTAAAAATTAAAAACTTAAAGAATATGCTTTAGTTTTATATTTTAATTTATTTATAATTTTTATTACAGATTTTAGACACATATTGGCCTCAAAATAATGATAAAGAATTACATTTTGATGATTTCTCTATAGAATTCGTTAAACAATATGATTTATCACATTGTATTGAATATAATTTAAAATTAACGATGAATGGAGTTGATGCTATATTAAATTTATCTTTATTACAAATAAAATCGTGGAGTAAAAAGTAATTTTTATTTTTAATACTTAAAAACAAAAAAAAATTTAGATAATTTTAATTTTAAAACAAATTTCAAAAATTCTTTTTTTGTTTTAGTGCTCCAACTCATATTTTAGAGATATCACGAAATATATTGACAACTCAAAAACAAAGAAATCAAGAATTTAATTCGAATTCACCATTAATAATGAATTGTTTAACAGGTTCAGAACGTTCAGGATTAGTTGCTTTAGCAATATGTGCTATTTTGTCAACAAAAACTAGAAGACCAACTATTATTGGTAAATAAAAAATAATCTTTATTCAATTTGATTTCGTTACGATGGTTTTTTTTTATATATATTTTTTTTTTTACTAAAGATGTTGTGGATATTTGGTATCGAATATGTTCACAACGAAAAAATGCTCTAAAAGACGCTAATAATTTAGAATTATCCATGAAAATTGTTTTATGTCATGCACATAATGTTTTAAATCAACGTGAGTATAAAAAAAATGTATTGTTTAACCAGGTCCTATGTTAATTTTTGAAAATTCTTTTAGGTGGTATCATGACTTCGTATCAAATGAAAATTGCCCAAACAGTAGCCGCAACCGAAAAAGAAGAAGCAAAAGATCCACTTAGAGAATTAGATCCTTTATGGAAGTTGAAACAGGAGAAATAAATTTCATTATAATATTTAATACTATTTTTACAATCATTATTCAAACAAAAAAAATAATACATACATACATATTTCTTAAAATTATTAACAATGGAAAAAATAAACTGATATGGTACTAGCTAGTTTATTATTGTTTTTACAAAATAAATATTAAAATTAAATATTTTATTCTTATACATAATCAAAAATAAATGTTATTTCATATTATACTAATAATTATTACAATAACTCTTATTCTGTTCTGTGAAAGTTACATATTTTTTCTTTTTCAGAAATAAAAATTTCAAAAATTTATCATGTTTTTATTTTATACATTTAGTAGATTCACTAAATTGATTTTTACAAATTAACGTCAAACTATTACAAGTGATTGTCTTATGGCTACAGACTTATAGTAATATTTTTTTTGGTACAACCTTTAAAATCACACTTTTTAGTAATTGGTGATCATCACCTTTTGGTAAAACTTAGGAAATACCATTATGTCTCAATTTTTGCGACATTCCACCACTCGAGCACAGCGAAGTGCTTATTACAAAAGCGCGATATTCAATATTTTGAAGCAGTATACAGAAATTGTAGGCAATACAAAATTTAAAAAAATAAAATGACTAGTAAGATCATAGATTATAAAAATATTTGTAAAGACAAAAATTAGTAAATAAGAGAAGTCTAGGATATTCTGCAGTTTGGTCACAAGTGACCCATTGTTTTTTTCATTAAAACAAGTTTTGATTTTGTACATGTATCTATATATTTGTCCATTAGTATTATAATTCTAAAACAAATATTAATTTGTTTTCTTAAATTTTCTTAAAATATAAAATCTGTATCAATCTTTTTTTAGAGAAAATACGTAGGTAAACCTTAAATTAAAAAACAATCTTTTGTTTTTGCATTATAAAATTCAAAAATTATTTAAGAAATTTTAATTGAAATTTTCACTCTTTGACCTTTGGTGGTGGTCTGTATACTCCGACTACTACAGCATGATCTCTTTCATATGGTTCAAGAGTAATTTGTTCTTGTGGTTTCAATTTATCTGCAATCATTTTTTTCACTTCCGATGCAAATACAGCTTCTGGTTGGGCTGTTGAATCTATACAAGATGCCTTTATTGATATAACAAAATGACCACCATTTTTTAAGAAATGTTGGGCATTTAATGCTACTATTCTACCTTGATCTGGTTGCGCTACATCAGCAAATATTGTATCAACCATTCCCACTAACATTCTATATTTATGCGGGTGACGTGCATCTTCGATTATTGGTATAATATTGGTACGTTTTTTTGCTACATTTATTAAATCACGACCCGAACGATGTGAAAATTCTACAGCATAAACTAAACCTTCCGGTCCAACAATATCAGAGACATGAGAAACTGTGGTACCAGATGCAGCCCCTAAATATAAAACTTTGGTTCCCGGAGGCATATGAATTTTATCAACTCCACCTAATATTGCAGCAGCTAACTTTGAACGAAAAGGATTCCAAACACGATATTCAATCTTTTCACCATCTGTGTCAACGGAAATGCGTTTTTCACCATAAACTTCAGATCCAGGAACAAAATTTCTAGTAACAAGAGCATCTTCTTTTCCTCGAGCAATAAAAACTCCTTCATGGCGATGTGGTTCTATAACAACTGTTTTTCCTCCTTTCATACCACCTCCTCGTCCTCCTCTTCCACCGAAACCACCCCTACCTCCACCACCTCTGCCACCTCCTCCTCGTCCTCCACCACCTCCACGACCACCTCCACCACCACCACGGCCACCTCCTCCAAATTTCCCACCGCCACCGCCACCGCCGCCACCACGACCAAATTTTCCACCTCCTCCTCCACCGCCACCTCCTCCAAACTTTCCACCTCCACCTCCGCCGCCACCTCCTCTTCCTCCAAAACCTCCTTTACCACCTCCTCCACCGCCACCTCGTGGTGAGAATCCTGGTCGACCCATCTATGTCCAATATATTATAAATATGAAACACAAAAAAAATAACTCCAAAAAATCAAAGCCGAGATAACGATGTTCCAGCTATTTATTTCACGTGTTTATTATAAACAAACCAAATTGAGGTTAAACGCTTTGACGTTAATATTATGTATAATTTAAATGACTTTCAAACAAAACATGGAAACAGAGATAGCAAAACAAAATGTTAAAAAACTTTGACATGAAATTCCGACAGCAGCGACATTTACTGCAGATGCATAAAGTTGTATTATAAAATGGTGATTTTGGTTTTTCATTTTTAAGAATTGTTTTTTTGTTAATTTGACATACATATTATTTCACGCATTAAGTGCATTTATTTTTACTCCTATGTGAGGTAATGAAAAATATTTGATAGAAAAAGAGAAAATTTTACACATTTATGATATGAGTTAATAAAAATTTTATTAAATCATTAATAAAATAATGTTATATCAAAAATGGATAAGTAATTTTATTTAATGAGCGAACTTATTTCATTCTTTTTATGGTATTTAAATTGAATTTAAAATTTGAAAAGAAAATTGACTCTTTGCAAATTTGCAAGAGATAACTTTATATAAGGGATGTGCATGAAAAGGTGAAGATCTGTTTAAAAAATTCACAATATTTGATTTTAAATCCTTTTGCATATTTATAAATTATGCTCCTTGTTAAATTTGACATTTCATTACTAAGTCGTATAGATTTAGATTTAAATCGGAATTGATTTTTTTTTCAAGTCAAAAAAGGTTAGAAAGAAAATAATTATAATATTAAAATCAAAATGCCAATAAACATTTCACTTTACTAGTTAACATTTATTTCATCTGTTACTTTGTTCATATGCGGCTTGAAGACGTCTTCAAGTGAATTTCGAGCTTATATAAATGCTATTTGACTTGAAGTTGTAATTTGTTTCAATTTTCTACTGAATGTGTTTACACGACGATTTAGGGATCAGTTGTTGACATACATTTAATTAACATAAATCGTTGTATGCAAGGCGAATGAAATGTATGTCAACCTTTCACACAAAATTAGTCGTGTAAACATAGGCATTTGAAATTCATTGAAGGTAGTTTTGTTATTCGAATGATAAATTTTGCAATTAATATCGAATTATTCGACAGTTTCCATCTCTATAACGGTTTATAAGTTTTATGAAAAATATTTCAAAATCACATTTTTCATCAAAAACATTTTAAATTTTTAATATTTTAATTTTAAAAATGTGATATTTGGCAAGGTAAGAAAAAGTAATGTCTAATTTGCCTTTATAAAAGATTCATTTAAAGTTTTAGGTGCTTTGATGAAGAAAATCAAACTTAAAAATCTTGTAGCTTAGCGATTTAAATTATGAATGACTCCATTTTTGAGAATTTATGTACATACATTCATATATGTACATACATATATATAAAAAGCGCGTTAGCCTTCATACATAAATAATATGTATAACTATGTATGCATATGTATGGCATCTTTATTAGATGTATAATTATGTTGATCAGTTTGGGAATAAAAAGGAATTGCTGTAAATGGACTTGACTTGGGTAGAATTCTTTTAACTTAGTATGTATATATATTGGAATGGACCATATCATAATTTATTAAACCAGAATACTGCGTATACAACCGTTTGTATCCCGAAGTAGCAAGAATTCAGATTTCCCGTCATGTCTACAATGCATTGAATGATTGCATGAATTGAAAGATGCATTGAATTTATTCAAAATTTTTACAGCGGTTATAGTTTTTTAGCGATTAAAACAAAAACGGAAACCAAAAATTTATTACTATCTTTGCTTAATTTCCTTTAAATGTTTTTATTTTTCTTTATACAGCTATATATTACAAAACAATATGTAAGTATATGTAAGTACCATGAACATAATTATGTAGATTTGTGTCGAAATTAGTTTAAAAAATTGTATTTTAGATGGTAAAATAACTCGTGGCATTTCATCCTTTGATTTTCTTTCTTGTAGCTTTTCATGCTTTAATACTTTTATTTTTGTACATTTGTACATATGCACGTACATACATTAATAAATATGTATTTACTAACAATTATACATATGTATGTATATATTTTTTATATTTTAGGTGGATGAAATTTCTTCGAAATCCTTGATGGTTGATAATACTATTTCGAAATTGTATAATGATACTGTGATAATGATTTTTGCACTTTACTTTATTAATCAAAAAATACCAGCAAATACGACAAAGCTAAAATACACATGCAAGAAATAAAGTAATGAATAAATTAAAATATACTTATGCTCCTACCAACCATCTGTTTTTTCAATTCAATATGAAGGACGCTGTAAGTAAATTCATTGTACCTACACCATTCTACGTTATTTTATATACCATATTTCAAACTATTTACATATAAGTATACATATATACGTTATATAATATGTATGCAGGTTGGTGTAAATAATTTGAATTAAGTAAATAGGTATAATATCGATTCAATGGTAAAATCATTCTGATATTCAGAATGAACTATATATGTACAAGCATCTTGCATTCGCTTACAATGTAAAAATAAAGTAAGAAGTTAAAGAACAATGTGATGTCATTGAAATTTCATTGAAATTTTTAGTATTTTATTCATTATTAACTATATAGTCATAAGTACATACGTATTATAATGACCATATTATGCTTAATCTTTCCAGTGAGCTTATTTTATATTTCTAATAATGGTATTCGAGTTTCACTCTTTACAATATTGATTCTTGTATTTAATGCACAAATGTAACAGTAAAACATATAATAATAGAAATTTAATTTTATTTTATTTCATATTTTAGATTTACAAATATTATTGGAGAATGCTATAGTTAGGCTTACCTACCCACATATATTACCTAAGGTTTTTCGTCGGAATAGAAATGGTTTCGAATTAAGAAAAAGGATTTCTTTTTAATTTTTAACCGTTGATGGTAACGGTTTGTGCTCCTCCTTTTCAAAAAAAAGGACAAATAATTCAGAGGGCCACATCAAGAAATAATTCTAAAAGCTTGTCAATCTTTACAAGGTGAGCAATGAATTTGATTTATTTCCTAAAATTGTAATTGATAATCAAACGAATTAGGCACGTGCCTACATATACAAATGTATATTTTAATTATTTTTAATTTAATTAATTGTTTAAAGCAGTTGATATCTGAAAATATTAGCATTTTACTTAATCTAATTTACATTTAAAATTTAAACTATTGTCCCAAATATGTATTTTATATTTTTTATTTAAAGTATCTTAATTAAATTCCACCTTATACTTTCATATTTAAACAAAGGGAGTCATGAGTCAATAAAGAAATTAAATAAATTTTAAATAACATATTTTTAAATAATTTTTAAATTTCAGAAAAGAGAAAATTCAATGAATCAGAATTCCACTTTGAAAATATTTTCAGAGATTTTTTTTAATTTTTGTTTTTATTTTAGAGTTTAAAAAACTTCATTATAGAAAACTGAACCGTATCAAATATAGAAAGAAAAGCAAAAAAAAACAAATATTAAAGACATTTTCTTGTCTCGACTTTTCTATTTTTAATTTACACAGTATAAAAAATATAAAATAAAAGGAAATAAAAAAAATACCAATTACAAGTACGCCACTGTTAAAAAATTTAATAAAAATGGAAAAAAAGCGAAATGATCAAAAAGTGAAAATTATTTTTAGCTTAAGAAAGGCAACCGTACGCACTTAATAGATATTTTAGTATCGCCTTAATTTTTTCATACATTCATCCATAGAATTAAGTTCAAATAAGATTTCAAGATATTGCACTTTAATTTTAATTTTTATTGTATTCCTATACCTATGTACATTTAAATATGCATATAATTTTAATTCATTTATAAAAGTATAATTTTTTTTTTAAATTGTTATTTAAAGAAAAATTTTAAAAAACCTTAATTATTTACCCAAAAAAATAAATAGAATTAGAGTCATATATGGTGCATATTTCTGGATTTTTCAGATTTAATGTTCTTATTTATACTGTAGCTAAAAAAAAAAAAATAGCAAAATGATGATTAATTCTTATTAAAGTTTTTGTTTTAAATATTCTTAAAAGTTTTTATTCTATTAAAAAAAATCAATGATAAATATGTGATGAAAATAAATAACATAATAATCTTGAAATGGTAAGGAAATTGAATTAAATTTAGTCATCATGTTCTTTTTCAAAAAAATATTGCAAAACATTTGAAATAGAATATTAATAAATATAAAGAGGGTGCGCCACTCAACAGTTCTTTCGCAGTAGTACTTTGCTTTTTGGGTCCTCCTTCTGTAATTATGAGCTCTCAAAGTTGAAGTTTCTGAAAACCATTTAATTATATTTGTATTAATTGATCTGGAAATGTGTCAAGTAAAGGCATCCTAGTTTGCTCATTTTGAAGATAATGAAATTTCCTTTCTAACAGTAAGCCGCTTCGTCTGGAGTCATTGTGTCACCCTACTGTGGGAGTACTGTTAAGTCTCAAACACTCATGAGTGTACATATTGTCATAATTTACTATGGAAAATTTAGTTTTTACTTTTTTTTTTTTTTACTTTTGTTTTATTAATTGCTTTTCTTTGAAAAATTTTAGGCCGTTGACGAATAATATTTGTTTCTATTTTTGATAATGTTAAAGTATAAAAATAAAATAACACATTATAAAAATACGGAAATAAATGTGTACATACATATTTAATTACATAAACATAATATATTTATTTATGTTTAAAATTCTGTATATATTTGTATGTATACATATATGTATACCCTTTCATTTTCATTCTCTTTTATGACCCTGGCGTCATTTTGGCGTCAAAATTCTTAAAATTACATAATTAATGTATAAATGTAATCTAATAAATCATATACGAATATTTAAATTAGATCAGAATATTTAAAATTGTAAATTATAAAATTACTATTTTTAAATACACATAAAAAAGTTTAGACTTATTTTATAAAAGCACATTTTAGTATAAATGGATGTGTAGAGAAACTTTTATCAAATAACAAAGTTTACTGGCTTTTTGTAGTTATTTTATATTTTTTTGAGGTACACGTACACTATTATTGATTAATAGTGATCATCTAGTTAAGAA